AAAAAAAAAAAAAAAAAAAAATCTGGTTCTATTTCCTTCTTTCCTAGAAGTAAACATCAGCTTAATTTTCATGTGTATTTTAATATTCTTAATACAAACTTACTAAAATATTGTTCAATGGGTTTAAAACTTTAAACACAATCAAGGGGAAAATCATTTATCCTAACAGCAAAGAGGGATATGGGAGGCCTTTGTTTTTTGTTTTGATTTTTTTTTGGGGGGGTACCGGTCAGGAGCTTGCATTTGTGATGCAGGTGGTGGCAGCATCACTGAACTAAATCCTGGGCCCTGGGAGGCCTTTGTTACTCAGACCCCAGACGGATGAGCAGCTGAACCTGTAACTGTAGAGTTCCCCGAGGGAACAGACAGTGTTGACCCCCACTGACCTGAGGCCACACCCATGCCTTCTATAAGGCTCTAAGGCGCTTAACTTCTGATAGCTGCGATCACTAATTCCTAATGAGTGATGTGAGGGCTAAAGCTGTCGTTTTGTAAAACCTCAGAGCTCATTTTCAAATGTTGCTTTTCTAATAATCTTTCTATTGAAATTCTGTTCTTTCAAAATTTTATTATACTTACTGAAGTTTCTTCATCTCTATCATTATCTAGGTACTGTGTATCTATTCCTTTTGTCTCTCTATGCTATATTCTGGGAAAAGTCTTTACTACTTATTCAAATTATTATTATGTCCAGTCTAAAATTCATTCTATTAAGGTTTTTTGTTTGTTTGTTTGTTTGTTTTTTGCTTTGGTTCTAATGTCCTTTGTTTTCCTAAGATAGATTTTTAATAGTTTGTCCATCCTCTTCTTATGGCCCTGTAATAAGTTCATATACTTTTACATCTTTTGACAGTCTAATCATAAGTAATTTAAATCATAATTAAAGTTATCATTAGATTGCTCATAAATTAATTTCTTAAGTAGATTGAAATTGTGATTATTGATTTACTCAGCTGTCAATTTTGGTAGTGTGTACATCTAGGATCTTTTTTTCTTTTTTGTAGTATTAGAGATTGTACCAAGGGCTTCTTCATGCATGCTAGGCAAGGGCCCTAGCACTGAGCCACATCCTTAGCTTTTTCATTAAAAAAATCTTTCTTTAAATTTTAAGACAGAGTCTTGCTATGTTACCCAGACTGGCCTTAGATCACAATCCTCCTGCCTCAGCCTCCAGAGCAGTTAGAATTATAGGTGTTTACCATTCCAGCTGCTGTAGGCCACCCTGCCTATAGTCCTTGGGAATTTTGATATGCTGGCTTATTCTAACAGGACTTAAAATCTACTTTTATCTTTTTCCTTCTGTGTTGCAGTTGCCTCTCAAGAGTGAGAGGCTCATACCCTCTCAGGCTTTAGTCCTGTGTCTTTGCCAAGCACTTACGGTCCCCTTGCTCTTCAGTACTTGAGCCCTGTGGCCTTGCCATCCTTGGACACAGCTCACAGCCCAAGCTTTGCCTCTGTTTGCTAGTTCACACTGCTGCTCAGGTTTTATGTCTACAAACCTATTTGCCAGCCATGCATCTGTTTTCTTCCTTCCTTTCATTATTTTCCAATAACACAATAAACTTCGTGTATGATTTTTGGAAGCCAGGGAATATAAAAGCATGAACTATATATATCATCTTGATTGAAAGTAAAATATTTATTCCTGAGAAATAAGTTCCCACATTTCCAAAAGTCCTATAAGTTCCTTATTGCTAAAGCTATATATGATTTTGAAGCAATGATAGTATAGCTTAGTATTTTCCTATTAAGAATTTTCACTTAAATGTTACAGTATGAAATATTCCTTTTGATGAGCATACATTTATTAATTTTTGAGAAAATTTATGTTGCGGGTGTACCTTGTGTCAGGCACTGTGTTAGGCAGTAGGCATACAGCAGAGAACAAAACCAAGCCCTTGCACTTAAATAGCTTACATTCTGTTAGGGAGAGATAGGCAATATGTAATAGGTATGCAAAATATTATAGGTACTGTTAAGATGGAAGGAGAGTTGAAAATGAAAGAGTTTTGGGGGGTTCTGGTTCTTGGGAAGATAGGTGAACATACTCTACCCTGTTTCTCCCACTGAATTCAACTATAAACCTTGGACAGAATACCTGGAGACAATACTAATGGACTTTAACATCAGAACAGTCCTAAAAGAATTGGAGAGACAGCTCTATCAAACCAGGAATTTCCTGGCATGAAATCAGAAGTATCCCAAAACCCAGAAGTAAGCACTGGGCAGAGACAGAAAAAAGCAAAAGAAAATTCTGTCATTCTGGTAGCATGTGGTTTCATTGACCACTGAGCCTTCTTGGTTGTATGTAAGAATCTATTGTCAATTAATAAGGAAAAGCCAGGTATGGTAGCACATACCTGTAATCTCACATACTAGGAGTTTGAAGCAGGAGGATCCCAAGTTTGAGGACAACCAGGGCAATTTAACAAGACCATGTCTCAAAATTTTAAAAAAGATATTCTGAAGCTGAAACTCAGGTAGAACACCTGGCTATCCTGAGATCCTGAGTGCAATCCCCAGTACCACAAAAACATAAAGATAAGGAAAATGCCTAAAGATATAACTATGATCAGATAGTCTCAGATAAGAAAATTTAAAATATATTATCTATATATAAAAGATGTTTAGGCCCAACTAGCAATTTACAAAGAAGCAACAATGAGATCCTGATTTCTTTCTTTTTTTTTTTTTAATGTGGTACTTAACATGGTATTTTAAAAACAAGTTTTACAAACACACAATAATTATATATATTTATGGTCACCTATATTATATTTATGGGCTCCTATTTCTTATTATATGCTTTTACTAACCTGATAGAGGATTCTGAAGATATTTCAGTTCTGAGTTTTCTGAGACAGTTTTGGAATTTTTATTGTTTTTGGTTTGTGTGTATGTATGGTTGTAGTATTGACTTTTCAAATATTTAGTTTTTAAAACTGGAAGGAAAAGGTTAGCATCTTGGATTCTATTTTTTTTCTGTGTGATTTACTATGTTTCCTAATTTTTCCATGTTTATAATATAGTCATAAAAACCTATTCCATAGCTGTGTAGATAACACTTTTGAAGGCACATGTTAACCAACAAGTGACACTTTTCTTTCCCTTGGTACTGAACTGTAGGTGTTCCCTCTGGCACATGTGTGCAAGGACACAAATAAGATGACATTAATTAACCCCCAAGGAGTCAAACTCAATCTCTACAAGCAGAAAGTGGAGCAGGCTATTAAGTCCTACGAAAAGTGAGTATTATTCCTGACTGCTCTTTAACAGATGTGGAACTTGTTTGCTTTACCTTGTTTTCTCATTTCTAGCTTAGATTTCTCTTCTCGGAAGCAGCAATTTAGCTTTGCAGCATGAATAACAGGACCAGCTAACCCAGGGACTCCCTATGTATCAGCCTCTGCATTAAGTTCTTTACCTGAATATTTTTAAGAGTCTTAAAGAATCCATCTTCCTTTTCCAAACTACAGAAATCTCATATTTCCATAAAAATCTTTCAGGTTTCCCTTTCAGCACAGTGAATTTGATCATTTCGGTATCTGACATTCAGTAAAGTGACTAACAAAGCCCCACAGTAATGCGGTAATAAAGCTGTAGCAGCCACCGCAGATGGAAAACATTCAGGAAAAAAAATTGCCTCTGTACTGAATATGCAGATTTTATTTTCTTGTTGCGATTCCCTAAACAATATAGCACCACAACTAATTTGCATTTAGTATAAATACTAATTTGTATTTGTACTGCCTGTGATATTATCAGTGACCTAGAGAGGTCTGCAGGAGGACGTGCCTGAGCCGTGTGCACATTTTACACCTTTTTATGTGAGGGACTTGAGCATCTGCACATTTCACGTCGTTCCTGAACCAGTTCTCTGCGTGGCTTCTAAGGAACAACTGCATAAGTACGCATTACCATTTAAATTTTGAATCAAATTCATGATGGAAATCAAGTTACTGCAGTGAAAATGGTGCCCTCGATAGTCCCTGTGTCCATGCAGAGACAAGAGCCTTTCCTCTCAGGGCAGACGCAGTTATCGCCTTGCCAGGGCCCTCATTACCTCCAGCCCAGCACAAAATTGATCCTTGGCTCCCAATGTTTAATGACGTTTCCAACAAGCCGTTCTTCTTCAGGCAAGACCCTTAATTGAGGAGCCATGCCGTTGGGTTTTATTTACTACCGTATAAGAAGAAAAATTAAGTAAAGTACAGAAGTGAATGATGTGGCCAAGCCAGCACTTATGCGTCTGTTGTCGTTTGGCAGTAGTTTTAGTGTGTGTTCAAAACAAGCTTAAGGCCTGGCCCTGCCTACAGGAGGGACACTCTGTCCCCTGGAAGGTCTCCCCCACCATGCCCGGCACAGACCTCTCCAAATTCCTGTCAACTAGAGCATCTTCTGCTGCTTTCCCTGGGAACTGAGGCTGTTTTATGCGGTTGCAGATTGAGAATCCCTTATCTAGACTGCTTGGAACAGAAGGGTTTCAGATTCCAGATTTTAGAACATTTGCATATATATATAACGAGATATCTTGGGGATGGGATATTTAACATAAAATTCATTTATGTTTTACATACATATTTCACACATAGCCTGAAGGTAATGTTATATACTATTTTAAACAATTTTGTGCATGAGAAAACTTTCACTTTGTGGAATTTTTCATTGCCTTGCAGAAAGTTTCAGACTTGGGAGCACCTTGGATTGGGGGATTTTGGATGAGAAGGATGTTCTGTCTGTATTTCTTGGGGTCTTTACTTGCCCTCTGTCTATCACAGGAACAACTTATGTGTTTGATGCTTCTAGGCAGGCATCTCCCTAAGGAAATGGGCTCCTCAGTGAGGCCTCTGTGGAGTCCCTTTCTCCTACCTACCTCGGATGTGGTCCTCAGAGCCTGTGGCTGCTGCACAGTCCTTGCTGTCTCAAAAACACCAAAACAAAATGAGATGTTTGTATTGTTATTAGTAATAATTTTAATATTAATGAAATTAACTTCACTATGACCAACATTTAATATTCTTACTTACTTAATATTGATTGGTACTATATTATTGCTTTAATATCATAAATTATTTATTTCATATCAACATTAATATTATGCAGAACAAAAACTTCCTGATCTTTTGAATTCAATAATATTTAAGAATTTTTGGAGGTTGAGAAATGGGAAGAAGCTGTTCAAATGGGAAGGGAAACAAGGGAGGAGGGAAGGAGAAAGGAAGGAAAGGACAAGAAAAAAAAGTAAAATAGAGGGAAAAACATGGAAACAAAGCTTTTGTAAACATGGAGGGGAGGGGGCTAGAGTGGGTAATGGGATAAAATAAAATAAAATTTATCTTAAAAATGAAGAATTTTGTTGATCCAAATGACAATTCCCTTTCACATCTTATTTTACCTTTCTCAAAATATGCAAAGTACAGAAAGTAATCAATGAGATGTTTACCCGCTCCAGCCCCAATAATACATTTCTAAGGAGTTTCCCACCAAAAGAAAACCAGTTGTGACTTTAAATATAAGCTTCATATAACCTTAAATCCATGCTGCAGTTAGAATGACCAAGCACATGGGAAGCTCAGAGTCTTTGGCTAAAATAATAGCACTACTTGGGTCACATTTAGTGCCCTTATGTGGGTGTCCTTCTGTTACATTATTTTATTATTTTACATTATTTTCTGTTAGATTATTATTTAAGTCAACAATTTTGGCTTTGAGGGTCTGGGCATAGCTTTTTTTCACTAATTTTATTGGTACATTTTAGGTATACAATACAGTGACACTCATCATTGGGAATTTGTACCTTTAGATGATATATCTTGATTCTTATTTTTCTCCAATTCCCCTGCCCTCCCTTCTACTCCTCCACCCCTCCCTATTTACAAAGACTTTGTTTCCATTTTTTCCTTTTATCATATTTTTTCCTTTCCCTTCTTTCCTTTTTCCTACCCTTCCCAGTTTCCTTTTCCCTTTAGACCTTTTCTTCCTATTTCACATTATCTGTTATATATTTTGATTCTTATTTATACCAGTTTCTCACACCAGAGAAGCTATTTAGTATGACATCCCTTGTTCCTGGGTAGGAAAAATCAATATAGTGAAAATGGCCATACTCGCAAAACTACTATATAGATTCAGTGCAATCCCAACTGAAATCCCAATAGTATATTTCACAGAATTAGAGAAAACAATAAAAAGAATTCATTTGGAACCAGAAGAGACCTAGAATAGCAAAAGAAATTCTAGGCAACAAAGACATGACAGAGGGTGTCATAATCCCCAACTTGAAACTATACTACAAAGCCACTGTGATAAAAACAGCATGGTACTGGCAAAGAAACAGACCTGAGGATCAGTGGAATAGATTAGAAGACACTGAAACGACTCCAGACACACTCAGCCACCTCATCTTTGACAAAGGAGCCAACCACCCTCATTGGAGGAAAGATAACCTTTTTAATAATAATGATGCTGGGAAAAACTAGATTTTAACCTGCCAAAGATTAAGGCTAGACCCATATCTTTCACCATGCACTTAACTAAAATCGAAGTGCATCACAAATGCTCAACACCACTGGTAATTTGAGAGATGCAGATGAAAACAACACTGAGATTCCATCTCACCACAGAAAGAATGGCTGCTATCAAGAAATCAACCAATAACAAATGCTGGCCGGTTGTGGGGAGATAGAAACCCTTCTTTATTGTTGGTGGGAGTGCAGACTGGTGCAACCACTGTGGAAATCAATATGGAGATACCTCAAACAACCAGGATTAGAAGTCCCATTTGACCCAGCTATTCCTCTGCTGGCTATCTTCCCAAAAGAATTAAAAGACTCATACCACAATGATATATGCTAACACATGTTTATAGCAGCACAGTTTGTAATAGCTAAAATTTGGAAATAGCCCAATTGCCCATCAACTGGAGACTGGATAAAGAAAATGTTGTTTTTTTTTTTTTTAATAAAATGGAATACTCCTCAGACATAAAGAACAAGACACTAGAGAGATTTATAGCTAAGTGGATGCACATTGAGGCTATACTTTTAAGTGAAATTAGTAAGTCACACATGTATAAATACTGAATAGTTTCTCTGGTGTGAAAAAGTAAAAGTGTAAATAAGGATTAAAATGTATAATTGATATTCTGTAATAGGAAGAAAAGTCTAAAAGAATAGAGGAAGTGGGAGGGATGGGGAAAGGTAAAAGGAGAATAAAAAAATATGTGAAAAGGAAAAACATGGAAACAATGTCTCTGTAAACAGGGAAGGGGGGAGGGGGTGGAGGGAAGGCTGGGGAATGAGGAAAAATAAGAACCTGATAAGTCATGCGTAGGTACAAGATCCCAAAGATGAATGTAACGGTATTGTATACCTGAAATGTACCAATAAATTTAATAAAGATTTTAAAAAGATCTAAATATTAAAACAGAAACACTAATTTGCTTGAAGGTAGATTAGGTATAACTTTCAAAAGACATTGGCAGACTTTATCAACAAAACCTCAGTAGAACAGGAACTAGCACAAAGAATCAACAACTTGGATCTCATCTTATTACAAAGCTTCTGCACTGCAAGAAAGACCTCCAACAGAGCTAAGAGACAACAACCTACAACATCTGAGCATAGCTTTGAGCAAGCATTTCTAGTCCTGTCTGGATTCTGCAGTTTATTTTGACTGTAAGTCTAAAGTCAAGATCACAGACCTTGGATCCACAGGAGAAACTTCAGTCCTAACCAGGTTCTGGGACCTTGCCAAGTGCCTTTACTTCCCATCTCTGAGAAGCTATGCCCATCATATTTCTGTTGCAAGTTGCTTTGCCATGAGCCACTCCTTAGTGCAAGTAGACCCGCAGTAAACCAGTAAGTGCAATCCCTCAACCAAATTCTGTTCTCCTGTGCCAAATAAGAGGAAACTATTGCCAGCAAAATCCCTGAGCAGAGAGGCTGGAGCAGCCAGAGAGGGGCCTCATCCGGTTCCCACCCCCGCACCCCCACATCCCTGCCAAGGGACTTGCCTCTCCCAGTTGCCGCCCACTCAGAACAACGAAATGTTTTCGTGGAGATAGACAGGCAGGGAATTACCAAGCTTATGAAAATGAGCTCTTGGAAAAACACCTTCTAAGTGAATGAGATCAAATATGAGGTGTGCTAGCAAATGGGATCCACAGGCATCAAAGCTTTCTCCAGGCTTCCAGGCCTTGCCCTACTTCGTGTACACTGAGTTATTCCTGGCATGCAGCAACACATCCATCTCGCTCCACACTCTCGATGCCAAGGACAGGTGGTGTTTTCCTTGTTTTATCCATAAGGAAGCAGCTTCTCAGACCGCACAGCAGCAAAATGGGGATGGACACCAAGCTGTGAATCCATACCTGTGTTGTTCTAAAGCCCTTACCCAGCCTCCCAGAACACTGAGTGCCCCTGCAAATTTCTATTTCAGAGGATTTTTAATAGGATTTTTAAAGAAAAGCATGGAAAAGCAAAAATGCTTACTATGATGCCTTTCAATAAATCTTAAAGGTTCTGGTCATTGTCACATGAGCCACACGATTCAAGAAACCTAATTTCCAAATAGGTCCCAAAGAACCAAAAGCTTCAAGTAGGGCAGAAGCACTGAGCTGGCTTCTTCTAACCCTGTCCCCTTGACTTACAGAACATTTACCTGTGTCAAGCACAGTCCACTGTGCTGTGCCCAGACTAGCTTGGGGAGTCTTCTCAGCTACACAGAGGGATTCTACTATTCAGCCCACTTGATTAAAAAAGTCTGGTATTGCCCAGTCACAGCCAGGAAGAGAAAATGACCCAGTGATGGGTCCTGGCTCTGCTGATAGCATCTGTGCTTTTCCCTCATTTCAGTCATCCTTGCTGTGTTCTGCCCAGGCTCACCATGGCCTGGGAGGCAGGAAATTACCTCCACCTGAATGAAGCATGTTCTCTGAGCCCATCTTTCTCAGAAACAAGGTCTTACTTACATAGCCCAGGCTGGCTTTGCATTGGCAATCCTCTTGTCTCAGCCTCCCAAGTGCTGGGATTATAGGCGTGGGCCACCACTCTTGGCCTAGGAAGTTCTTAATGCAGAGATGATGCAGACCATGTTTTTGATTGCATTTACTTTGATATTTGACACAACTGCCTCAAAGCCATGAGGTTTCCACAGTGAAGCTCAGAGAGGGAGACACTCCTGTCCAGTCTCTCTTAGCAGATGACAGTGGTGTGGTCCAGGGCCTGCATACCCACTGCAGTGCTTCTTAGAGCCTAGAGGCAGCCTTCTGCTGTAAAATGAAGTATTGCTTCTAAATTATTCTCATTGCTTTTTTTTTTAATTTAACAGGCGTTTGAATAAAATTGTTTGGCAAGCATTATCTCAAGAGGAAAAAGAAAAGTAAGTCATTCCATGTCTTCCCTTGTTTTTTATTCCATTGAAATTCATGTCAGCAAAATTAATCATTTTGAAGTGTTCAGTCCAGTGGTGTTTAGAATATTCCAAATGTTGTGCAACACTCCTCTCTCTTTCTGTTTCCATTGCCCAATAAAAACTATCTTGCGCCCATAGAGTAACTATTCCCATTTTCCTCTTTCCTGGCCCCTGGTAACTACTAGTTTAATTTGAATGAATTTCCCCTTCTGGAATTTGCCTATTACATAAGAGAAATCATGTAACATGTGATACTTTCCATGTCTGCTTTCTTTTATTTAATGTGAAAACTTAATGCTTTCAAAGTTTATCCAAATGGGACTTTCAGGGTATCTGAATACACACACACACACACACACACACACACACACACGCGCGTGTGTGTGCACACGCATGCATGCACATGTACACACATGCACAACGTATCTCTTTGTAAAATGCATCCTCTCTTTCATTGATGGTCATTTGGATTGTCTACTTTTTGGCTGATATGAATAATGTTGCTATATGTGTATTGAAGTTTCTGAGTGAACATTGTGTCTTCATTTCTCTTTGGTGGATAACTGGAAGTGGATTTGCTGTCATGCGATGATTCTATGCTTAACTTTTGAGGGACCTCCAAACTGCTGCCACAGGGCTGCCCCACTTTGTATGCCACCAGCATTGTACAAGGTGTTCAGCTTCTCTGTAGAACAGTCTGGAGGATCCTCTAAACAAATATGTAGAAAAAGACATGTTTGCTTTAAATCATTTCCATGGAAAAATTACTTCCTCATATAGGCACATAATTATACATTTTTGTTGTTGTGGCTGAATAATACTTCGTCTTCTAACATTGTTGGTGTGGTTGCCAGAACATTTATTGGTTAATATTTAACAATGTATAATTTTAAGATGAATGTTTTGTTTATATTAAATATACTGTATCATGGCCAAAAAGTTAAATGTAAAGTCATCCTCCTGGTGTCAAGTGCTATCCCACTGTGGCCCTGATACACATTTTCTAATGACTAGTGATGATGAACATCTTGCATACGCTTCTCCGTTTCTCTACCTTTGGAAATGTCTATTCAAGTCCATTGTCCATTTTTAAATTGAGTTGTGTTTTTGTAGTTGAATTGTCAGTCTTTCGGATATTAAGTGCTTACCAGATACATGAGTCATCCACATTTCCTCCTATTCTATAGGAGGAGATATTTTCACATTCGTGATAATGTCCTTTGATTCCCAAAAGCTTTCAATTTTGGGAAAGTCAGGTCATCATTTTGTTTTGTTTTGTTTTGTTATTCATGTTGCCAGTGTCAAATTTAAGAATCCACTGCCAGATAGGAAGTTGTGAAGTTGTACCACTATGTTTTCTTCTGTTTATAGTTTTAGCTCCTATATTTAGGTTGTTGGTTAATTTTTACATATGGAGCTTGTTTTACATATGGAGTTAATTTTTACATATTGAAGTTTACATATGGAGTGAGGTCTTCTAGGATATTTTTAGAGTTGTGCTACACTAGCATAATGGTTCATCCTGAGAAAAATTAAATATGTTAAAAATCATATTCTTTTGTTGAGAGAGGTGTTTGGTACATGCCTATTGTCTGGTGTAATTATAGTGTTTTCTGATCCTCTTTTTTCTTTTTTGATCATTTGTCAGAATGCTGTATTCATGACTGAAAGTGGAGTGTGCCAGCTATTTTTGTACAAGTGTCTATTTTTCCCTATAATCATGCCAAAGTTTGCCTTACTGGGGGATTATCTTAGTTACTTTTCTTGTTGCTACAACAAAATACCCAACGCCCAAAGTTCAAGGAGGAAAAGTTTATTTTGGGTCACAGTTTGTAGAGGTTTCATCCCATAGTCAGCTAGCTCCAAGGCAGGGTGACATGGCAGAGGGGCATTACAGAAGCAAAACAGTCCATGGCAGTGTAGACAAGAGTCAGCAAGCAGCAACAGCAGCGGCAGCAACAGTAGCAGTAAGCCTGCCTTTCCCTTTTATGCCATCCAGGCTACAATCCTTTGGGTGGTACCATCCACACCCAGGGTGGGCCTTCCCATTATCCACACCCAGAATTATAATAAACCAGTCAGTGGAGTAATTTAATGATCACACACCCTTAATCTAAATTCACACACCCTACATTCAGCCACTTCTGAAAAGCCCCACCTATAAGTGCATGTGGCTTTGTGGGGGCATCTAAATACAAGCCATAACAGGGACTGTAACAGTAGATCTATGTATCTTTATAATTTCTTCCTGATGATTTGATAGTTTATCAGTAGAAAATGTTGTCCTTTGCTTGTAACAATCTTTGCTTTATAACAATTTAGACTTAAAAATCTATTTTTTCCAATAATGATATAGCCACTCCAGCTGTCTTTTGATTACCATTGCAAATATCTTTTTCCGTCTTTTCTTTTTACTTCTTTTTTTTCCTTTTGGATATAGGGTCTTGCTATGTAGTTCAGGCTGGCCTTGAACTTGCAGCGATCCTTTTACCTCAGTCTCCCTAGTACTGGGATTATAGGAGTCTATCACCACACCCAGGTTTCCCTCCTTTCATTTTCAATCTATTTGTATTTTTAGTTCTAAGAGAGTCTCTTCATCAACATACAGTTGGTTATTTTTTAAAATTCTGTCAATTTTTGTCTTTTATTTGGTAGGTTTAATCTCACTTAAAATGATTAATAATGATGGAAGACTTAGGTCTGCCTCTGTGCTATTTGTATGTGTCATATATTTCTGTTCCTCAGTTTCTAATATTTTCTTCTTTTTTACTTGATTTTTTTCTTACATGCATTTTGATCACTCTTTATTCCCTTTCCTACATTATATACTCTTCAACCACTTGGTTTTCATAAGGATTGCAGTTGCCATTGTAAATGTATAATAATCTAGTGGGAATTGATATTGAATTAGTTTCAGCAGCAGACATTAATTCCATTCCTGTACAACTTCAACCTTGCCATTTACCTGTTTATAGTCATGGATTACATGTTGTATATTATGTGCCCATTACATAGATATGTGATTATATCTTTGTACTTGTCTTTTATGTAATATACAAAACAAAACAGCAGTTATATATCAAAATAAAATACTAGCTTTTATATTTTTCTATGTTGTCATCTTTGCCAGTCATGTTTATTTCTTCATATGGCTTAGAATTGCCCTTTAGTAGCCTTCTTTTCAGCATGAAAAGTGCTTTTTAACATTCTTGTGAATAAGTCTACTAGTAATGAATCCCTTCACTTTTTATCTGGGAATGTCTTAATTTTTCATTCATTTTTGAAGGGTCATTTTATCATACATAATTCTTGGCTGACAATGATTTGTTTCAGTACACTAAATCTATCATCCCATTTCCTTCTGGCCTCCATAGTTGGTGGTGAAGAATCAAATGCTGATCTTCCTTAGAAGTACTTATTCATGACAAGTCCCTTTTGTCTTGCTCCTTTCAAGAGTCTCTCTTTTTCTTTGTCTTTCAACAGTTTGATGATACTATGTGCTGGTGTAGCTCTTTGAATGTATCTTGCTTAAAGTTTGCTGAACTTCTTGGATATGTAAATGTACATCTTTCATCAAAATTAGGGAGCTTTTGGTCATTACTTTTTCAAGTATCTTACACCTTTCTCTATTCTGTTACCTTTTAGGACTCCCAAAATGTTTATGTTGGTAAGTTAAGTCCATGGTATCCCAAAGTTTCCTTAGATTCTGTCCACATTTCTTTATCCCCTTATTGTTTCTGCCTCTCAGATTTAGTAATGACAGTTGACCTATCTGTACATTCACTGATTCATTCTCTGCCTGCTCTAAACCTGCTGCTGAATAAACTTTCCATCTCAGTTATTGTTTTAGCTTCAGTATTTCTATTTGCTTCCTTTCATGATTTCTATCCTCTAGTTGTTCATATATCTTCATCTCTGTTTCCTTTAATTTCCTGCTTATGATATCCTTCACCTCTTTGAGCATATTTAATTTAAAATTAAAGTTAATTTAAAATCTTTATCTAGTAAATCCAGCATCAATTTTCTTCTACAATTTTTTTCCTGTAAATGGGACATTTCCTGCTTCTTTGTATGCAAATTTGGAATTTTGAGGATTAAATTGAACGTTTTGACTATTACAATATGAAACCTCTGAAAATCAGTCTCCTTTCTTTTTATCAGTTGCTGTCATTAATGAAGGTTACAGCTTCTTTTTAGTGCTTTTCAAAATTATTTTTACAGAAGTAATATTTCTTATGTGTGTTCAAAGTAGCCCCTGTTCCATTATCTCTATGGTCAGCCAATGGCTTAACAGAGATTTCCTTAAGTACTAGTGTCTCTCTACATTAAGCACTGTTCTGAATGCTACAGGTTTTCACTAGATTCAAGAATTTCTAAAGAGGTCACCAAATGAGGTAATGGGTAAAAGTGCCAACCATAATTCACAAAGATGGTTGTGTTTTGTTTTGTTGTGTTTTGGTACTGGGGATGGAACTTGGGTCTTTGTTCTTGCAAGGTAGGCAGCAGAACCTCTGAGCTAAATCCCCAGCCTGAATATGTTTGTTTTTAATCTGTTTGAGCTACCAAAGTCCAGATGGACCAGAGGTCATGGTTATGACTGTCATCTGACATCTGATGTTCAGCATGCAACAAATGTTTTTCAGGGGAGAGTTTACTGAGACACCAACATATTTTTTTTTCTATTGTAGTCATTTGCTTTTCCTTTTTTGTTGTTGTTGTTGTTTTTAGGTTAGATGCAATCAAACCATTACAATACTTGGAAAACAAGGCAGCTCTAAACAAGGCATTAGAGCGGTCAAATTGGCCTATTTCACTGGAAGAGCTGTCGCTCCTGGAAAATGAGATTCTAGCTGGGAAAATGTACATCCAGCAGGCCATGGAACTCCAGCAGGCTTCCAAGAAGAATTGTGTGAGCCAGGGACCAGCAGAGGTATGTATTCCCTCCCTCTCTGCCTGTCCCAGTCATTTCCACCCCTATACTCCCCCTTCTCTCCACCACACTGATTTCTGAGAGTTATAGTAGAGGTCTCAGGACTTTTTTTTAATCAAAAAAGAAAAGCCACTTGACTTTAATATGTTCTTATTTTTTAAACAACACAACACATCTTTTAATTGAAAAATAAAACTAAATAGAAGTATAATGTAATATAATGATTAAAAGCCTAGACTTTGATCAAACTTCAAATCTACCACCTTATTTTTAGGTAATCTTGCCTAGCTGCTTAGCTTCATTAAACCCCCTTTCTTATGTGTGAAATAGGAGTACTAATAGTTCCTGCCTCCTACGGTTGTTATGAGAATAAAACCCATTTTAAATATCTGATATTAGGGCCAGGGATTTAGGGCAGTGACACTGCACCTGCCTTGCAAGCACAAGGTCCTGAGTTTGATCCCAGTACCAGAAAAACAAAAAGTACCTGGTATTGAAAGCCCCCACATAAATATTAGCAATTATTAGTATTAGTATCACTATTAAACTAATAGGGCAGATCTTCTAAAAAGGAAAAATAATTTTCCTTATAGGTTTTTCCTCCTCAAATAAATATTTTGACAGATATAGCCAGAGTCTATACTTATTTTATATTCTGCTTTTTAATTTCTCATTATTTCACAGAATTTCTCTGTGTTTTATTGACTCTTCAGATTGATATTTTTGGTGACTACATAATAATCCATGATGTGCAGATACCCTGGTGTTTTTAACTCTTCACTGAAGGTTGGGCTTTAGGTTATTTTCCAGTTTTTCATATTGTCATGACTCTTTTGGAACTCATTTAGTTGAATTTTTGTTAAGATACAGTCTTGGGAATGGGATCCCTGGACCAAATGACATGAACATTTGAAGGCTCAAAACAGATATTTCTAGTATGACACCCTTGTTTCTGACTGTGCTTTGGGTGTGTGTGGACACAGAATAGTTTCTCCAAAATCTTTCTGAATCCTAGTTCACTTTCAGATACCCACTATATGAACTGATCTTTGGGATTCATTTTTTTAGTTTCTATCTTTGCCAGTTAATACTGTTTTGCCTGATTTTGGCTTCTGTATTTGCTGCTCTAGATTCTTGTGTTTTTCATTTTTCTTTTAATTTTTCTTCAGCAGATCACATTTTCCCCCCACTGGTATAAAAAGCTATTATCCTTTGTGCAGAATGAAAAATTTTTGTCACATATTTGTTAATATTATTCAAACAAATTAGATCCTCACAGAATTATTCAGCGTTCCCTGGCACACCAGATACCCACAAACATTTCTCTATCCATTGGCCTTGCTTACCTCGATGCCCTGTGGATACCTAAAAGTCTAGAGGACCAAACTGAATTCCTACCTCTTGCTGAAATACTCTCTTCCTCTCTCCATGCCTCCTGTCTGCTAGTTCTTTCATTTGTTTACTGAAATATTTGTGAAGATCTTCAAGGTGCTGAGCACTATCCTAGGCCCCATGAGAACCTAAAACATGGGTACCCCATTCTGTCCTTATTCTCACGAGGAGACAGAGCATTACTCCCCCTAAGTGATGGGCTTCCCCACGTTGAGCTGTGGATTCCCCACAGCCCAATGGCAGGATTTTCTAACATTATTCTTTTATCTATGCTTTATATTAAATTTGCAAATAGGAGGTGTTGCAAATAGAGTGAAAAGAAGTCTCTTGTTAATCAGGACAAAGATAGTATGTTTTACTGCATCTGCCCAGAATTCCAGCACTATTTACAGAATATGAATTAATTGTCTTATTCCTTTATTCCCTTTTCACAAAGTGGGAATAAAAATAATTTTTGTAATTTCCTCATCTAAAAATATCCCCTACCATGGACAAGACTATCATTGGCACAGGTAGTCTCAGGCACTGAGTAGCCCAGCTCATTCTCATCTTGGGGTCTCACATGGTGACAATATTTATTTGATACAGTGTGCACTGGACGTGCACAGCCTAGTGGAGGAGACATATTAGAATAGACCATGACCTCCCTCAGAGTTTTGGATGTGTAGCAATTGGAGGTTGAGGCATGAGAAAGTTTCTGAGTGAAAGAAACAGCCTGTGCAGAGGCTAAGGATGGAAAGGAAGGTAGGATGTTCACCCAGGGTGTGACCACAGAAGAGCTGGGAAAGAGAAAGTGGCACTGGGGACTTAGGCCTGTAGGAAATGGATGCCAGGAGAGGTTTCCAGAAGGTGAAAGTCATTGACAGACTTGTGTCTAGAAGGATTATCCTAGCAGTGAGGTGAGGCCTGGTGTAGAAAGAGACCAAAATCATGTGCAACTCTCTCTCTGGGGCATTGAGTCCTTGAGTCAAGAAGGATCAATGGGTAGAGCAGAAGTTAAAGAGACATGGGTTGTTGGAAAGTCAGATGGATGGGGTGAGTCAGAAGACAAAATGTCTTGTAATAGACAATTCAAGGGACAGTGTCAGTATTGACCACTTCCCCTACACCTGTTCCTAGGAAAGCCAGCCCATCTCATCACTCTGCCGTTCTGTCACATGTGTCTCATTTTTGTTTCCTTCACAGCTCATTTCACTACATGATGTACACACCTGTTTATGGCTGGTCTTCTCCACCAGGTCAAGTGTTGGCCCATTGTGTTCTAGGTACTCCTGTAGCCGGCAATAGTGGCTGGCACTGCTAAGACACTGATGGATATTTCAGTAAATACATGAAAGACCAGAGAGAAAGAGGAAAGGGTTATTAGCTTTTACTCTTCTAAATTCTAAAGTGTCTGCAGGGCATCCAGGTGAGAAAGCCAACAATCAAATGTTGGGAGCCCAGGAGAAAGGGGGAATGACAGATAGACTTGGAGTCATTTGAAGTAGGTGCTGAGAGGAAGTGAAGACAATTGAAGGGATCAAGACAGAGAGGTTGAGAAGCAAGAGCCTCAGGTTAAAGGACTACAATGTGAGAACCAAGGAGAAGTGGTTAAGAGCCTGGCTCTGGAGTCAGGCAGACCTGTTGCAAATCTCAGCTCTACCACTTCTGAGTTGTGTGGCCTCACACATGCCCTACACTCCTGAGTCTCCTCATATCTGAGATAGAAAAGGCAAAGATGGGACAAAGCATATCACGTGCATAGTACAGTGGGGAACCCTGAGAGCCAACGACAAATTCATTCAACAAGATCTGCTACTGAAGCTGTTATGGAGGGTTCTGGAGTCATACAGAATGGTATCTAAACGCTATTTGATTTGCCAGAAGGGGGCTTACTAGTGATGTTTGAAGATGTAGAAGAATGTGAGTAGAATTGTGGGAAAAGCAACAACTCTGTGGTGAATGGGCAGAAATGGAGCAAATCAATATGCAAAGTACAGACTTTTGTTTCCAGTTCTTCATGGGAAAGACCAGGAGAAAGATGGGAGGAATGGGAGGCATAGGCAAGTGTGGGAGAAACCAGTGGGTCAGGATATTCTGGGTCTACTGCTGCCTCCTTGTTGGTCAAGGGCTAAGGCTGTCCCTTCACTGCTCTGTCTCTACATGGGGTGTCCAAAGCCTCACTTATCTCCTCAGGGCGAATCCCACGTGCTCAGACCAACTGCCCACATGAAATGAATGGGCAAAGGGTGTCTTCAGAGTTTCTTCTACTCTTAGCATGGCCTTCTGCAGTGGAAGATTTTATGTTTTCTTTCCTTCTATTTTTGAGGAATGTGTGGTGTATTCTGAGATTCTTTTACTCCATTTTTACTATGACCCACTCATTTGATTTCAGGTCAACCTTCAAAGTAAAAAACTTTGGTGGCAGCAAAGCTCAGGACTGCAAGGACAGATTGTAAGGTCTTTTAAGATCCTGGGGTGAACAGCTCATTGGCAATGCTATTCATTTTTACTCATTCATATATAATTTCATGTTAAATTCTCTTAGAAAAAGCCAAAGATTTTGATCAATGATTGTAAATTAGAGAGGAATACCCTTTCTGTTTATCACTAAGACCCCTCTACTATTTATTAAAATGTGTAGCAAATGCTCAAAGTCCCTTTGGGTGGGAATCCAATTAGCAAGGCCCACGTGTGTTCAGAAGGCTGTGGTCTCTGTGTTCAGACCATTCCAGGAGGCATTCTGGAGTTTGAATGTCTGAGGCTTCCTGATACCTTCTCAGGAGTGATGTTGGCACCCAGCATAGCTACTCCATTGGCTCCTAAGTCTGGGACAGAGTCGTGATTCTTCAGACTATGAAGTCCAGTGGGAAGGAGGCATGGCTGCAGGTACCAGGTGCAGCAAGCCTGGCTTGTTCCTTACCCCTGGGCTTCTGCCATCAGTTCCTGGCTTGCCTGGGTTCAGCCTAAGATGGGAACTGCTCTCCCCACCTGTTATGCCTCCCATCCTGCACAGGGCACGTTTCATGCTTGCCTGAGTCACACTTTCCCCTATGACCATGATCCACTGACTTTACAGTGCCAGTAGAGACTGGAGCTTGGCTTTCTGACCACATAATAAAAGGAGAAATATTAAATCTAAAATTTAGTTTTCACTAATAACTCACCCTCTTGTTGGCGTGATTGCAGATTTCACCATCATCAGCCAATTCTGAGCCCTCAAAGCTGAATAATGAAGGACATCTGTGAATTATTGTTAACCTTCCCTAGTCTCCCTGAAAACCTAGCCTAGAACCATTCAGATATGTTGCCCTGAGCACTGTCTTAGTAGATACAGGTTATTCCCCAAGAAAATCCTATAGAATCCAAACCTGGAAAGATCCCAAGACTTCTCCACACCCTTATCATTAACCATTTTGGAAAATGTGAAGGCAGAATATTGTTCATAATTTGTAAGTAGTAAGAAACTCTAAAGAAGGCCTTGGAAATGTACCAACACAGCCAATGAGTACGTGGACTTCCCAAAGCTGTGACCAGTGAGGAACTTGGCATCTGAGACCCTTAGGCATGGTGGAGTGGATGCTCTGCCCCATGCAAGGCTGTCCTGGAGAAAGAGTGTTAGGAAACTA